ATATTTCTCCTCCGGCTAGCGCAGATCAGTCTCCATCTGGAGCCCGTCTGTCGGACTCTGCGTTGATCGACGAATTTGTGATACATCGTCAGTCTGTCTTGCGAATTGTGTGCGACGTCATTGCCGCTGCGGTCGACAAGTAGAAGGCGTCCACAGACCAACGCGGACGCAAGAACGTTGAGAAGTTTAAGGTTGTTGATTTGGTTTTACTTTCGATGGCAAGCATACCCGATGCTTCAATGACAAATTATTGGCAAACCGTAACTAGCACCACGATGTATTGGCCCATTTAAAGTAATTAAGATGAACGTAGATGCCTACAAACTAGACATCCCTTTGTCGATGTGTCTACACCCTACTTTCTAGGTCGGTCGTCTCAAGCGTTAATGGCCGGCGGTCCTCCCGTCGTCGACTGATCCTATGCAGGTGCATAACGCGATCCCCGATAACGCGGAGGTCTTGGCGGATCGGGCTGGCACATACCGCGCAACTTCAAGATGTCCCGTCGAGGAGCAGCATTCGACTGCTCCAAGCGCTCGAGTCGCTGAGCGAACCCAGAAATCGCAGAGTAAGCCTCCTCCGCGAGACTCTCCGAGCCTCAGCCAGCTCCTGTGCTTGACTCGCATCATGGTATATGAACGTCACCCGGCGATCAACCTCCTGGAGCTGCGCCACGACCGAAGGAGTCGGCACCGGTCGTTCAGACTCCGGTGCCTCACGCTGCGTCCAAGTGCCAAAATCCAACCCACGCTGGTTGGCAGCGCTAGTGTTTGTTGGCGCTCAAAGCGCAGTATTAACCTTTGTTAAGATCTTGAAGCGATCCACAACGAACTTCATAAACAAGTTCTTCACTTGCTACACGAGAAGCTTACCAGCTTCTCGTGTGCAGTGAGCACTAAATAGGAAATTCAAGACTGACTTATATGTAATAGAATAATTAAGTATTTATCTTGTTAAATCTGCATTGACACACTAGTCAATTGGTCTTGACCATTTTGACGAAGTAAATTAACATCAAATCTAACTACTGATTAATAAAATGTAAAGATCGGATACGCGTCTTTATAGAAGCGTAATCCTACGCGCGAGCTTAAATATATTTAAGCTCGCTCAATGACGCCATTCTGAGGCGTCAACATGACGCCTAGTCTTAACTGGCGTCATCCTTGTTGAATGTGAATTCATTCATGGATATTACATGCGTGAGGGTGTGTTACATTGATGTGCCTCATCCAAGTGGCAGGTCTAAGGTACCACATACCCAATTAGACCTCCCCGTTGAGTATATGATACTTAACGGACTCATGTAACTAGTAGCCCTTTACACCATCCCGTTATATAGAACGGTTTTCACTTTTTTGTTTAACATCCAAAACGAGACGATGCCACCTAAACATGGTAAGGCTGATTTGTCGCCTGCAAAGGTGCCCATGTAGACTAATACAAACCGCACGCGCCGCCATACTTTGCAGCCGTCGCTAAGGGTCTCTGTGACAACGTCGACATTTAAAAAAGTCAGCTTCTCGTCACAAACAACAGTCCATCCCACTATTGATTTAATGAAGACTTGTCTCTCACTGTTTACTACAATGAGAGCACGGAATTGCCATCAACTCAAAGTAGTTAAGAGCACAGTGCGTTGATGCGAAATATGTCCCCATCATTTTTAGGCATTCACCCTTCAGGAAGCTTCCATGCTTCCTATCAGCGAGGGTCGTGCCTCGCCGTCTGCGTCAACGAGAGCAGCGACCAAAACTGAGCGCGCTGATTGGAACGGAACTAGACGCGACTCAACAGCAGGCCGAAGATCTTAAATTGACCGCCTCTGTTAGCCCTACGCCTTCAATATTAACAATCCATACTGGAGAGCCAGACTCAAGCGAGGATGAGCTAAAAGCTGCTTCGACTTCAAAGTCGGCCTCACTAGCACGCCGTCGCGAGGGCGGCTTCGTGAGTGGTTGCTTGTCAGCAATGCCAAAGCCATCCGAGAGTTAACGCTCGAGTGGTAATAGTGCGACGCTTCTAGATCGTGCCACTATTGACGCTAATAAACCCTTTAGCGTCTTTCCTTTGTATAAAAGCACGGCGAAGCACTAGGTCGTGCTTTCCAAATTCCAGTCGTGTTGCGTTCTAACGAAACAGCCGACGGATATGAAGCTGAACTCCGTCGCCGTGTTACCTTGCATGTAGATGCAACGAAACAACGGTCGCAGCAATTCAGCTTCGCTATGACGCGTGCAAGGGAGATATGGGTGATAATATACCCTCAAATTCTTCTCTCTACGCTATCCCTGCTAGTCCATCAGGACCTAGCAGAGCGAATGCAACTAGTGCTTCTGCTCATATGCATCCACTAGACCAAGCACGTCGACACGCAGCTCTTCAACCGTTTTCCAAGCGTCAAAACGCTTCGGGAAAAAAGCCATCTTGTTGACCAATTTTTTATATTGAACAAGGATCTGAGGCTTCTGCTTTACATAGCGGTGGGCCAACAACCTTTCAACAAGGAAGCGTGTGTTCCCACACGCAAAACCAACACAGGTGGCGCACGATAGGAGCGGCAATTACACCCAACTATTCGTGGATGCTGATCCTGTTGTCTTTCAGTCGCAGGCGGAGATCGCTGCGCTGAAGAGGCAGGTGACTGATTTTTCGAGTCAAGTCTCGCGACTGAATTCGGATCTACACTCCGTTGATACGAGGGTCCGTCAGGAGTATGACCGCCTGAAACTCCGTTTGGACATACATTTGCGACTAGTAATGAGTAACCCGCGTCAAACGCGGAGTCCTCCTCGATCGCCGAGTCCTCTATCGCCTGATCGGCCGCGACGCTCGACTCCAGCGACGTCACCATCGTTCTCGTTAGACCGATGTGGATATGTGATCTTTTGTAGATCCACTTACTGTTTCAGACGACCTACGTAAATTATGGGGTGCGTCTTCATATACGGTGGGAGATTGAGCCTATTTTTAGGCCTCCAACTTCCTTGACCACTTTATGAATCGGAGCAATAGCTTAGTAGTACCACCAGGTAGTTCAGAAAATGCATGTTTAGGTAGGGTAGCAGTACATAATAGTACTTTGTCCCCACACTAAAGTGTTCATTGTTTTTGCGACCATGATGGTCTGCATATTTTTTTTGCTTGTCCTGTGCGCTTGCCATCGCGTCACGGAATTTACGTGGGATGGATTATCGTTCATCCACAAAGCGCTGAGCTTCGCTCACGCTTTCAGCATCCAGCTCGCCTATGACACTCTCACAAGGTCGATCATGGGTCGACGCTGTTAATATCACTGAGGCTTTATATTAAGGAGCACAGGCATATCTTGCCGTGCCTCCTCATTGACAACTATATGTGTCGTAACCACTGCTAAATTAGCAGTGTCACTAAGACAATTTGCCCCTCTTTGGCATTCGCACCCAGCGAAGTGTGGTAGAGCGGGATTCAGGGTGATCCCACCTCTCCACTGGCGCCCGGACAACCGACTATCGGAGGGGGTACTCCATTTCCGTGTATAGCAATTCCGACCTCACCTTGTGTACCCGTCGGTAGTGCGGGTAGCACTCTTCTCGGTGGACTAAGGTTAATTTTGAACTTGACCGTGGTTGGGATTGGTTGAATGTTCGATCACGCGGAAAACTTCACGCGATCGAGGGTTACTTGGGGCACTCTATATGAGTCGCCTTGATCTCTCTTGAGATCACCTTGTCCAAAATGTAGATATTTGATCCACTTGATCCATTGGACCTTCTGACCACTTGAGCCGTCTCGCGATCTTGTGCCTTGTCTTTTACGTGATACAGTTGAAACTTCAAGTCAACAGTGGTACTATCACCAAGGCCCCAGATCATCCATTACCTTCTTTCGTGATGTCACGATCTACATCATTACATGTTACAGGCAGATTAACACAACTGCATGTCTATACATCTAATTTTGGGTCTAACCCTTACGGGAACAATACACAATCTTCTTCTATCTAAAGTCCTCTGCCAACTGGTTCCGAGCCCAAAACCACTTCCCAGAGTTTAAAAGAAGAACATCATGGACCCGCTGGTCGACGACGATGACACGCCAATGCCTGAGAGCCATCTGACTCGATCCAGCCCTTCCTCATCAGATACTTCCCTTAAGAGTATTACATCAGCGAGCCAAGAAAACACCTCTCTCACGTTCGCGGGACTGACGGCCCTCACTGAAGCAGCATCAGTATTGATGGTTCAAGCGCGTTTGCTTTAAACAATTGAGCTTGCATCCGTTCCGCAAATTCAACAGCTTCTTATGAGCGCAACAAACGCCGTTCTTGAAGCCAGCGCCATGATTGCTACTTTCCCACTCGAAATGCAAGCCACGTTAGTCAATGAAGAAGCTGTGGCTGGAGAAGACAATGCTTCAACAATTGTCACTGCAACTCCAAACCAAATCGGCATCCTCACACATCACAATCAGGAGGTCCACAATCTACTACAAACCTTCCAGCATGACGTCGCAACAGTTCGAGATCAGCGCAATGCACTGCAAGATACGGTAAATCAGCTTATCGAATACCGTTCCAAGCTAATTAAAGACATCGCCAATCAACGCATCCAGTTCAACACACAACTCAACAGTAAATCCGCTGAGGCAAATGCAGCAAATACAACATTGGTTGAACGCAAACGAGCACTACAAGATCAAATTGAGAGAGCCAAGCAACATAATGAACGGCACAATAAACAACTGCCGCGCAGAGCACCAAGTAGTCGCGTAACGATTTCATCAAGAAATTACTTGTCTCTCACAGCGCAACGAACGTCTTCAATCCGAGCATGTTAAGACCATGGTAGCTTTAACTGAGCAACAAAATATCAGTCAATCTGCTCAGGATTCTTTGGCCTGCACACTTCAAGCCGAGCAAGGAATTCGAGACCAGCTTACAAAATCAATTGATTATCACCGTGTCGCCCAGGAAGAGGCGCTAAGTCGTATCACTGAAGCCCAACACATAAAAAAATTCCATGGAGATTAAATTGGTACAAGAAACCGCTCGAGCCAATGCTGCCGAAGATCGCCTGGCTGCGGAAATAGCGACTCGAGCTTCCTTAGAAGGACGACTCCAGTCCCTGCAATGTCGCTACGAAGTATTATTGCGCGATACACTGCCGCCACTTAAGACCCACGCATCACGTATGGACCGTGATCAACCTTCACCTATTAATTCTGAAAACCTTTCGATTAATCCGGCTCATCAAGAAGCTCAAGCGCCACTTCCGATCTATAATTTTGTGCCACCGCGCACCCAACGGTCGCCAGCATTGACAAAAAACACACCACCACCGCAAGATTTAGGTTCATCTCCAGGACTAGCTCTATCTTAAAATTTAGCTCCAGACCCAAGTTCTCCATCGCCAGCTTCAAGTCCTGTCCTTGCACCTCCAGTGCTAGCGCCACATACGGTACCTTGGATCAAGGAAGTCAAGTGTGAGATGTTTACCGGCAAGGATTCATACCCTGGTCTTGGGGGCGGCTTTGATCTTTTTATGCGCAAGTTTGAACAAGCCATTTTAAGTGAAAGTCGACGTAACAACTCAACGTATACGGATGAATTACGTGAGACATTTCTCGACGCCTTTCTTGACGCCACCGCCTCGGACTTTTATTTTCAGTTCCTGGACGAGTTTATCGATTCACACAACCGCAACCCTTTCGTACCAAGAAGTCCAAGCAGCTTTGCGTGAAGAGCTCCGGTGCAAGCTATCGCAATCACGCTTGAGCGACTATCGAAACAAGCCTAAGAAACCAGAGCAAACATGGCACGGGTACTACGCATATCTGCGCCACGTAGGGAAAGAAATGGGCGGTGATCAAAACGCCCTTATCCTGGAACCATTTTGCAAAAATGCCTCCACATATCCAGGGATCCAGCTTCAGCTCGCCAGCGTCATCGACTACAACGCTACCAACATAAACGACGAAATAAATAAAGTGTTTACGCTCCTGACGAAGCTTTTGGGTGATGGACGCAAGTCGAGTATCCACAGCCAGCGTTCTTCAAATGCAAAGGCAAATGTAAATAGAGCCTCTGCAGCTTCAGCGACAGCATCTACGCAAGTTTCAGCGAAACCTAAATTACCCCAGTACAGCTTTACGAGTCGCTCGCGACCCAAAGACGGCATTAAACCATGCTGGGTCTGCAAGACGACAGAACACAAAACATTTGACTGCCCAGTGATCCAAGACGCTCAACGCCAAGTCGGACAAGCCAGCGTTGCCACCGCAGTAAGCCCTAATGATCATGCCGCCGAATCGTATGTCGTCGAGGGTTGTGACGACACTATTATCGACTCAACTGGGGAATGTTTATTTCTCGGGTCGGCAGAAGAATGTATCAACCATGGATCTCCATTGGACTCTCCTACCCCTAATGCCTTTGTTAGTGCTGACGCATGCATCGTACTCCAATCCCGCAACGCTAAGTTGCCAATTTCGACAATGTGGCTTATTGACAGCGGCGCTACCCATCATTTCACGAACAATGCAGCTGCAATTATCACGCCCACACCCAGTTTCTTACGAGCCCGCGTCGCAAATGGTTCCGTGCTTCAGGCCGTCAGCAAAGTCAGTGTACTGCTAAAGACGATTGAAAACGGAACGAGTACCCGATTTGTGCTCACTGATGTGAACTACGTCCCCGCCATGCCACGAAACCTGCTTCCTGTTTCTAAGCTTATCGATCAAGACTTTGTGGTTTCGTTATCCAGTCACTGTACGCTCTCTACGAATGATCGTATCGTCGCCCGTGCCCCTCGCGAATCATGCCTTTGGTCTCTTTCCGCAATATCTGATACTCCTGATGAGGTTGCTTCTTTTCTCTCTCGATTGAAAGCTTCACCCTTCGCAAGTGGCATGACCGGCTAGGTCATCTGAACTACCAAGATGTTGTTCGTATGGCTGACAAGGGGCTTGCCGCCGGTATAAAGCTGACAAAACAAACCATGCCTTTTTGTATGCAGTGTGCTGAAGCTAAGCAAACTCGCAACCGTCAAGGTAAACAATACACTTCGAGATAAGCTCCTACAGACGAGGTTGGTGCCGTCATCGGCTTAGACCTCAAGATTAACATCTCCCCAATCGACCGGAAGGGACACAAGCACGTTCTCACCACTGTTGACTATGCTTCTGGGTACAACTGTGTCTACTTGCTGAAGACGATAAATGAAGCCTTCGACAGCTTCATAAATTTTCACGCAAAGTTTCAACGGCAATTTGATGTTCGAGTCAAATGCATACGTTCGGATCCTGGTGGTTAATTTGTTAATGACAAGATGAGGCAATATTTGCAGCGCCATGGAATTCTACACCAGACAACCGAAATAGACACTTCCGTTCAAAATGTCAAAGCCGAGCGCTTCCATAGCACGCTGTTTAATACAACTCGAGCAATGCTCTGGTCATCTGGTATGCAGACAAAATTTTGGGGAGACGCTATACTCTACGCCAGCACAATGCGCAACTACCTCCCTACCCGCGGTAATGCAGACCGCCGTTCACCCCTCGAAGTACTTACGGGAAAAGTACACGACGTCAGCCACTTGCTCAAATTCGGTGCCCGCTGCACCGTAAGGCTAGAGCATGCAGTTGCAAATTTGCTTCGGAAACGCTCCGAACAGGCATTCATATTTGGCATCGACCCCGTTAACAATGGCTACAATCTCTATCTTCCCCGTACCAAGACGTATTTCACCAGCTCCAACATCCAAAATGTCGATCGCGTTGACACCGATGCCGCTGGTGACCTCGTCGACACCTTCGATACACTTGACGCTGTCCCCAGCACATTTCAGCCCCAGGATCAGCAAATGTACGATCGTGCCGCTACCACCAACGCTCTTCACAAGACCACGCCAGTGTCTGAGGGGGAGCCATCATCCGATCATCTTGATCGGACCAGTGAAGTTTCAGGCAGCGACGACGACGATGACTTCAAGACAGGCGAACCCATTGACGACGTCACACTGACCAAGCGCCAAATCGACATTGTATTCGGGTTCCACAAGCGCGGTGCCCAACTTCCCATTGAAGACTTCGAGCTACCTGCGTCCCTTCTTCTCGACGTCACCAGTATTTCCGGTGCAGCAATGATGGCCCTATATATCTCTGATGGTGTTCCGGACCCTCAAAATATTCGCGAAGCAATAGCAAGTTCATTTTGGCCACAGATAAAGGAAGCTATGATCCAAGAACTGGACCAATTGTGTAAGAATGGTACATGGGAGGAAGCCGTCTCACCACCTGGGACCAAGGTCGTGTCAAGAAGATGGGTTTCAAGATCAAATACAACTCGATGGGAGAACTTTACAAGTTTAAGGCACGGCTCGTGGCAAGAGGATTCACCCAAAGCTATGGTGTCGATTTCAGCGAAACATACTCTCCGGTACTCAAAATGGCAAGCGCGCGATTTCTTATTACACCTGGAGCTCAGTGGGGCTGTAAAGTTAGCCATGGTGACGTTCCCAACGCCTATCTTCGTGCACCGATTGATCGCCCGATCTACGTGAAACCGCCACACGGATCCCCAGACGAAGGAGCAGTTTATCGATTGCTGAAGAGCCATTACGGATTGTAATAGAGCGGACGACTTTGGAACGACTTAATTTATAGCTTTCTTCTCGAGTGTGGTTACACACAAAGCTGCCAAGATCCGTGCGTCTACTTCAAACATAAAGCCATCGGCACTACAGTTGTCGGCCTTTACGTCGACGTAGTCATTATAATTGCACAGGATGACTCCCTATCTGAGACTCTTATGCAAAGGCTCCACAACAAATTCGACATCAACGATTTGGGATTAATCAGCAAGTGCCTCGGTATTGATGTGGAGACAACGTATTACGGCTACTTTCTTTAACAACAGCACAACATCGATGCTCTCCTCGCCAGGCTCGAAATGACGAATTGTACTACCCGTTCGACGCCAATGGAAGAAAAACACAAGCTTTACGATCCAAACTTGAGCTTTTTTTTAAACAAACGTATCTACCAAGAAGTTATTGGGTCATTATTGTGGATCTCCAACTGCACTCGTCCCGATATCACTACGACCGTGAATCTTCTGTCTAGAGCGACACACACACACACCACCGAACACTGGAATTGTGTAAAGACTCATGCGATACCTCAACGGCATTTCGACTCACGGCATTTTTATTAAGAAGCTCAATTCAGTTCAATCGCAACCACGCCTGAAAGTCTACAGTGACGCATCATGGGCCGATTCCAAGCTAGACGCTAAGTCCACGACCGGTGTTCTCCTAACAATGAATGGTTCGCCCATATCGTGGTATTCCAAGAAGCAACCCTTCGTCGCATTATCTACCATGGAAGCTGAGTACATTGCTGGTGCAACAGGTGTGAGTGAATGTCTCTGGGTATAAGATCTCCTATCGGAGCTTAAACTCACAACAAACCACGAACCGCTTTTGCTAATTGTTGACAATCAAGCTGCAATTATGAAAATGGAGAACAGCGTCAGCTCACCTCGCAGCAAACACATCAACATCCGGTTCCATTTTGTTCGCGACAATGTACAAGCCAAGCGTGTCACGGTCCACTACTGCTTAACATCAGAAATGTTTGCAGACATCCTGACCAAACCACTCGGCCGTATCAAGCATGACCGCTTCACCAGAGCACTGCACGTCATGAGTCGAAATGAGTTCAAGGTCATCAGCTAAGCCCTGCTTGACTTGCAAGGGAGAGTTGAAACTTTAAGTCAACAGTGGTACTATCACCAAGGCCCCAGATCATCCATTACCTTCTTTCGTGATGTCACGATCTACATCATTACAAGTTACAGGCAGATTAACATTTATACATCTCATTCTGGGATTAACCCTCACGGGAACAATACACAATCTTCTTTTATCTAAAGTCCTCTGCCAACTGATACTGCGTCCAATCGCAGGCAGAGTTTGTTTATGAGAAATTTTGTAATCCCTGGCTAAACAACCCAAGATTATTACTTGAAGGTATTGGTGGCAGAAGCTCTTGATTGTCGGGAGCCAAAAAATATCCCACCCGGATGAGAAGTCTGCGTGCGTAGTTAGAAGTAAAAGAAACTCTGTTTAATGTTAACCAATCAAATACAAAACCTATGATCTTGCCTATCGGTAGCCCAGGATCTACTACCGCGTGTCGCCTTCTTTGAAATAAATTAGGACTTACTATGTGGTCCACTTCAAATACCATAGTGATTTGTCGAACCAGATTTGTCGAATTGGATTTGTCAATCCAGATTTGTCGATCCGTATTTGTCGATCTATATGACTGGATACCCTTTGCTATCCACTTTCTGGAACGAGGGTACAAATCGATCTGTAACTGGTAAAGCTTCGCGATCTACTTTCTCGATCGAGGTTACGATCTGATTTTTATCTGATTTGTCGATTCGATTCTCCTAGATCGCGACTGTGGTGTGTGGTTCACACTCAATACTCTTTCGATCCATATTCTTTTGTAGTCTTGACACCGTTACTCCCTCTTCCAACCCTCTCGCATGTTTTATTGGCCAATCAGAGCGCGAGATTGTTGATCGACGATATTTCTTTGATCAAATCCTTTATAAAAAAACGGATCTCTTTACCACAGAAGTGAGCCCCCCCCCACTAAGACTCGGTCAGCGCACAAACGAGACTGGCGACCAAGGATGGCGCAGTCCGTTAACATACAACGGTTTTTCACCCATACTAGCGTGAACACTGTTATAAATAGCATACTCCCGAATAGCAATTGCTTAATACATTTCTTAGGAGTCGATACAGTATGCAACACATCCGCCACGACTCGGTTAGCTCGTTCCGTTTGTCCATAGGTCCGGGGATGATCGGCTGTTGACATTCATAATCGTTAAATATGCGATACTTAAAGGGCAGGCCTAAATGGGTACGAGGTACCTTAAGCCTGCCACTTGGGTGTGGCACATCAATGTGACCCACCCTCGTGAATGTGATATCCTTAAATGAATTCACATTCAACGAGGATGACGCCGATTGGGACTGGGCGTCATTAAATGACGTCAATCAGTTACGTCATTGAGCGAGCGGCAATATATTTATGCTCGCACGTTGGGATGCGCATCTATAGAGACAGCTCCCATTATTACATATTAATCAATTAGTAGTTAAATTGAGATTTAGTTAAATTCTATTTGATATATATTAGTATTAAATTTTCTTCACACTGTCTACTGCGCTTGAGAAACTGAGTAAGCTTCTGCGTGACGTAAGTAGATGACTTGTTAGTTGTTCGTTGCGCTCTCGCTTACGCGGGAGGCAACTGGTGGTACTACTGCTTTAGCAGTCAATTAGTCACACATCCACCATCGCACGCGAAGATAAGACGGTCTAACCGCTTCCTCGCTTGTGCTGAAGGCGTGCGCTAAGAAGTACGAGACAACTTTGTAGAAGTGCCCGTCTACGTAAGGCCTATCACATATATAGAAGCATCTAGAAGCATTTACATTATTCCATATACCCTAGCGTAGGTTATCACTCTGGAGTCAATACCAAGATGCAACTTTCACTTTCCAACAAGGTGACATTTGACGTCGCTTTGTTCCCATTTATAACGGCAGCAGTCTAACAAGGATAAGAAGATCATAAGTTACACTTTTAGTCTGAACCTTAAAGAATCATAAAGAGGGAAAGTTAATCATAGTTTTGAATCCATGGTGTAAACGAATCGGGCGCTTCGTAAAGAAGCTGCCACGTACTACGCGGGAACACACCTTCAAGCAGCGTGAGGAAGCGGTTATACCGTCTTACCTCCGCGTGCGGTGGTGGTTGCGTTGGTCGTCGCTTAAAGCGCCGAGCCATACTGTTGCCGACTGTTTAGAGCGATCCGCGCAACGAAATTTAAAA